CACTCTTACTCCTCTGATTCTCTCCCCCATCCCACCAGGGCGGGGGGAGTGAGCGAACGGTTGTGTGGTGCTTAGTTGCTGGCTGGGGCTAAACCACGACAAGTGCCTAGGAGACTTCAGTCTACAATCCTGAAATCAGCATTGTAGCTTCTGTGTGGGAGCAAAGTGGGACTATCCAGTGCAAGAGGAAGCTGGAGCAGTAATGACAAACTCTGTAAACTGTGTGAAAGGCAAACAGCTTTAGCTAAATCTTTGTGAGTTTTCCCCAGAGGCTGTCTCCTTTAATGAGGATGTTGCTTTAACAGCCATGAGAGTCTGGTTTAGCTCAAAAGGCTCTTTAATCTACATGTCCCTGTTTCAGCACTGACACAGCTTCTGCTTTGATGCATTGTTGGGAGTCTGGGTTGTGCATGTTTTTCTTTTTTAGTCTGTAATACGAGATGTCACTAATTTCTTTTTATTATTATTATCCTGACTTGAAATATCTTCCATGGGCTCTAATGGATTTATGGGGACCGTGTTTTTCATTAAGCTCTTAGCTTCATTGGGCACTCAAACTCCCAAACTAATTTATAGCTGACAGTTAGGTGTAGTTGCAAAGGCTTTTTAGCAAACGGGATTAACAAAATCCCTGTCTTCTGCACTAATCTTATACAAAGCTAGAGCAAATCCAGTGCTTCTGATAGCTTGGTCTGTTGGCAGCTGGTGTGGTAATAGCCGCAACTTCAGTAAGCTTTTGAAGGTCTCCCTCACTGATGTTTCTTCAGGTGTCTCGACCTGAAAATACCCCAATGTGAATTTTTCTGATAATAGGGTAATTCCACCACTTCATCTGCATTTTTTTTCTTGGATTTTTGGTATAAGCTCTTTAAAGAATTATGTACAGGGCATCTGTAGATAAAGCATGGAAGGTAAATAGCATCGAAACAGCTTCTCCTTGCTTCTGAATTCTGTCTGTCTTCTGTGCAGGCGGCTGGGAAGGATCCGCCACGTTCAAGATGACCTTTTCAGCTGGGGGTGCTATCGAGTTTGGGCAGCGCATGCTGCAAGTGGCATCACAAGGTATGAGAGCCTGGCAGTGTCTGCCAAACAGTTTTGTGGTTTCAGGAGGCCTTGCCTTCGTCTCACAGCAAGGGTGGTTTTAGGTTGCAACAGGTTGGATTCAAATCCATGCAAGTTTCAGGCTGTATCTGGAACTTGCTTGCATTAAAAAACACTTTTTTTTTTCTCATCTAATGAACAGCAGATTTATTGTCATGGAGCTTGTTTATTGTTCAGATAAGGATTTTTTACGTTTGTTGGAGGTCTTTGCCTACATCTGATGCAGGCTTGATGTTTTAATGAGGTCGGCTTTATCTTTACTTTTCCAGTGTCCAGAGGTGAAATACCCAATGGAGCTTATGGCTATTCCTATATGCCAAATGGATCCTATGCTTTTGCACCAGCTGCAGCTAACGGGGGCTATCCATACCCACCACCTCCTCCTGGTAAGTCTGGGAATTGAGGATGGGGATTATTCCAGTTAGCAAGAGATAAAAGAGCGAAAAAGGGGAAGAAACACAAATTTTACATAGTCTTTTAGTTTGGATCTGATGCTTTCTGCAGCTTTTGTTTCTGAACGTAAGCTTAGTTACTTGCCTTGGCTTGTTTTGGCTGTATGCTGTGACCCACCCAAAGGGGTTAAGTCTTCTGCTGTGCTATTGCCTTCCCTGACAGAGTTTTATCCTGGACCTCCTGTGGTGGATGGAGGCATGGGGTACATGCAGCTTCCACCCCCACCATACCCGGGGCCCATGGAACCCCCTGTCAGTGGTCCAGACCTGCCTGCCACTCCTGCAGGTAAGAAGTGTGTTCAGGTGAATTAGCTCAGAATGTTTTTGTTACCTGTGAAACAGACATTCTTTCTTGTCTGTTATCTCTTGGGCAACTTAGGGTCAACTTAGAAGCTCCACTTAGAAGTTAAAATTGTTTAGGAGAGGGATTAGGGAGCTCCCCTAATCTCCAGCCGTATATATCTATCTCAGTCTGGAGGCCAGCCTGATTCTCTCCAGGGTGGATACCATTAGTGGGTATTTTGCAGCTGGATTTGTTCTTGTTGTGGCAGAAAAAATACAGTTTGTGATTCTCCTATTGTGGTAATCTTGCTCTGTTAGATGAATAAAAAGAAATTGATGGTGAAATACATTTCTAGTCCATTTTAGTTAGCAAATGTGACTTTGCTGGTATTTGCTCCCCCCTCCCCCATTTCGCTCTAATCTGGTTACTTTTGCTTAAACAATATGGAACAGAGGAATAGATAATGGAAAGGAGCTGGGGAAAAGTCAGTCTCGTTTTCACTCATTTGGGATTTATCAAAATTATTTTGAACATGGTCTTAAAAGGTTGGAGGCGGGAGGGAGGGGGACAAAAAAACCCAAAATCAAACAAATGAAAAAAAGAAAAAAACCCAACCAAAAACCAAACCGAGCTTTTGTGGTTGGACACAACCACAGATCTCTCACAGATAAATTCTTATCCAGACAAATATCCTTAACTTCTCTCATTTGTTTGAATAAACAACCATTATCTTTGAACTATTATTTGGAAAGTGGCACTGATCCAGCTGGTTGTACAAGATTTTTGTATTCTGCAGAAGTAGAGAATCTGGATTATCTTCATAAACTACCATCTTTAAACTATGAATCCCCTGAGCTGCTATAAATTTGTGCTGATTTTTGTTTCCTCTTGTGTTTTCCCTCCCAAGAAGGATGGTTGACTGCCTTTTTAAGGGGTATTGTCTGTATTTAGGCAAAACAGCCGTTAGCATGTATTTGTTGGCTAACAGGCAAGTCCCAGGTGACATTTCCAAACTAAGTCTTGGCACAGTTTCAATTCTGACTTGACAATCCTGTGGCAACCGAATCTTTAGTGCTTGGAAGAGATAATGCTCAATTGTTGTGTTTGTTGTAGCTATTTTGCAACTCAAGCATTGGTCAAATAGTGCTCTGTTAGTAACACTTGATGGCCAAGAATATGTGGAGGTTTTGTCTGATTGTAAAAGTTCTCTGTGTATTGCCAAATTTGTGACTTCTTTTCCTGTGACAGCTGAAGCGAAGGCTGCCGAAGCTGCCGCCAGTGCTTACTACAGCCCAGTCAACCCACATAACGTCTATATGCCCACGGTGAGTTCCTGTATCATTCTGGTATTGCAATGTGAGCCTAAGTGTGTATTCAGCAGTTCTTTTTCTCCGTGACACAGCAAAGTTTGTCTGAATTGATTTTGGTTTTTTATCATTGTTGGTTTGTTTGGGTTTTGGTGGATTTTTTTTTTTTTTTTGTTAGCCATGAATTGATATTCTTTCATTGTCTTTATTTTAGGACCAGCCACCCCCTCCTCCGTATTTCCCACCAGAGGACAAGAAAAACCAATAAGCTAACAGAGAACTTCTCCACAACTCATTGCTTTCTTACTTCCCATTTTGGCAGAATCTTGGGGCATGGTCCATAGCACTGAGGAGTAGAGCCTTCCCCCAAGGCACATAGCTTTCACGGACTTCAGTGGTAGATATGTGCAGAGCAAGGGGAAAGATTTCAGCAGCCTGGGTTACTTCGTAGAGCTCCAAGGGTTTGCTGTCCTACCACAATATTCCCTTCTACCTGTGCACGGCATTGCTAGAACTGGAGGTTCTCTTCATCTGTGATTGTTTCCCTTAGGTCTGTTTCTTTTGAGACTTAAATTATACCTCTTCAGAGTAAGGAACTGCTCCAAACTGATAATTAACATGCTTATAACATGGATGCCAGGCTTCTGGTAGGGTTTTGAATTTACCTTAGTGTGCAGCCAAGAGCATCTCTGGACACAGGGATGTCTCTGGGTATCCTCTCAACCCAGAGTATCACATCCAACTTTTCCCTCTGCTAGTGAGAAAGGGCTTCAAAGGGAACCTTTGGGATCTCAAAGGAAATAGATCTTTCTTACATTTTTGAGATATCTAATAAACTTTCTTGGGGTTTTTTTTTTTTTTTCAGCTAAGTCATTCCTGATAATAATCATAGCAAAAAATCTGGTAGCCCTCCAAATTTCCCTGCTGTGCACTGTGTATGGTGATGCTGACAAGCTTCCCTTCTTAAGAAAACATACTACCCTTTACAGGGTTGATGAGTAGCATCTAACTAGTTACAGATCATATGGGAACACTAACTTTCTGTTTTCTCTTTTTTTCCAGTTAGATATGTGGGCTTGAGATCACTAAGTCCTGAATACTCTCTTTATAATGCACTTTTTTTTTTTTTTTTCTCTGCTGTAATGCGAGTTACACTTTTTGGCCAGTGAAGCATCTCACCGCTGTGATTTAACTGGTGAATTAATAGATAATGGGGAGTGAATAGTTGCTTTACTTCTGCCCTGGAAGCACTTGAGAGAATATGCAAAATGTTGGAATAAGCTGCTAGGTATAACTGAGCTGCTCATTTGACTGTTGTTTAATGCTGTTAGTGTTCTTGGATCAGCTGTGAATTTACTTCCCAGTAACTTGAACATGTGCTCCTTGGACTGAGGGTTCAAACATTTTCTTTTCATAGCATTGATTCATCGATCTCATTAGCAACGACTCCAGTATGCACCTCTGCAGGACTGATCAATAACCCAGTTGTAAAACTTTGTACAAAGCTTTGCACGAGTCAGACTTCACTGACTTCTGACAGTGTCTGTGAGAGAGAAAATCCTTCCCAGCAAGTGTGAAGAAAGATTGTGTGCTAGGGAACTGCTGAGACTTGCTGCATGCAGCCTGCTTGGAGAGAAAAAAGGTCCACCTCTTGTTTTCTTTTTGTTTGAATCTAGCTGATTAATCAAATCGCTACTGTCTGCACTGACTTTTCTAGAATTGCTACTGCAGTGATGTAAAGAAATGGTTATTTTAAAAAAAAAAATATTTATTTTGAAAATGTTTGATTAATATATTAATGTGAAATGACTTTTGAATGCAGATTTGTTTTGCCAAGACTGTGAAGTAAAGAGAAATCAGCTCAGAAATTATGGTGTTTGTGCATTTGTGTGTGAGTGGGCAAACTTGATGGTGACTTAGTAGCTTTGGATGGGGAGAGAGAGAATTAAACAGCAGCAAAAGCACTTGGATTTTGTTCTTGGCTGTTTATTGGTGATGTTAGTTGCTTGATTTCTCTTGACTAACTTTGTGAAGTGAAAGTAAGATGTTAAAATCTTTTAACAAATGCCCATTTCGCAATTCCTTTCCTGCTGTAAACCGGTCAGGTGGCTCCTTAACACTTTACCCAGATGCGTTACCCAGATGGTTTTTCCAGACCGGTTGTCCCTGTAAAAGTTGTAACCTACTGTTAGAAGAAGTAGTCGAGGGACGCAGCATAGTTGTTGCCTCTAAAATCTGTCTCTAATTAGAAGCAATCCATAATTTTATCTTTTTTAAAAAAAAAAAAAAGTGTGCTGAGATGCCTGGGTAGTTCTGCTCAGTTAGGTCTGAACTCTCTAAGGTGGTGTGGTCCACCTGGTAGCTTTTCTCCCTGAAAAAATGGGGAGTTGTTACTCTGACAGCATGAAGAGCTCCTCCCAGGTGT